AGAACATTGAATTTTTGTCAAACAAAGCTAGTCTTTTTTTATTATAATACATTCATAATATGTTCTATAATTGTGGATAAAGTGGACCTAAACAACTAAAAAAAAAATACAACTGAAAATTTATCAATTTGCAACTATAGGAAAAGAAGTAGACTTGCAATGGCATATAGTACAGCATATTCACCACAACCCGGGTCATGTGATTCTTGTAAATTTCTATTAAATACCTATCATTTGTGTATTTATTGTGAAGGGTTTTATAAAAAAGGAATTTTTAAAAATGTTGATACATTTTTAAACATATTGAAAAAGGAGCCAATACACTAATACACTTACCTTAGAGGATCTTGATGATGATGACGACAGTGATAATGAGGACGAAAGTGATAATGATGACGAAATGGAAGGGAAGAAGAGTGTAAATTCTGAAATTTTATTAAAACTTTAATAGTATAGATTTTTGGTAAATATTTGTTTATAAAGCAAAGAAATAATAAAAGTTTCCAATATAAATATCTTAAAAGTAATTTTTCGCAAACCTAATTATTGTCAAAAAGACAGTTTTAAAATTAATTTTATATAATAGAAAATTTTTTATAATTGGTAGTTTATATAACGTTACATTTTATAACCATTTATTATAAAAAACTCACTTTTAAGAAAACTCACACGGTTAACGGATCATAGAGATGGGGTCTTTAAAGTTCGTTAGCATAGCGACCGCAAATTGAGCTAGCAAAATTTTATAAAAACAAACAAGTTTTTAGTGTGGTATCATATGAAATTCTTGTTTTTATATGTTTCTCTATAAACTAATATTAATAAAGAAGGGATTACTTTAAAACAAGGGCATAATCTAGCATTTGTGTAACATTCATGCATAATTAGAAATTCAGGGAAAGGCTTGATAACTTCCGCTCACGTGATTGTGGTTTTTTTTAAAGAATAAATTTTGAACTAAACTTTAATCATTGAACGTAGCATCGTAAGCTTATAAACAATTTGTTGACTTAAGTTTTTTTAAAAAACAGAAATCATGGGAACGTTTCAAGTAAATCAAGTCATGAGACATAGTAAATCATATGATATGTAATGTACTTTTACTTGAAAGTATATTGATTTCATAAATCCACGTTTTTTTATTTATGCGAAAATTCGTATTTCGCTACCACGTGGGTCTAAATTTGGCAAAGATGTTTTTTAAATTATCAATATCCAAGATCGAGATAATTCTGCAGCTGAGGTGGTTAAAATTTTAATACTTGCTAAATTATTTGATAAAAAAGAATCAGTAAACTTCAAACTTTTCTTTCCTCTATTCTCCTATATATCTGCTAAAACATTTATATAAAGTATTTCCCAGTATGACGTATTTATTAGAAATTATTTATTCCTTTAATACTCTTAAGATTTGACTCTCAACCGCATTCCTTACATGTTTGATGGCTATTTAGATTTTAAATCTAAAAATTAATTCCTTTATCTTTGTAATAAGCAGATATTTCAGCGGTAGATTAAAGTCTATATTTTCGTAATCCAGAGAATAACCTATAGTCTGGTAATTATTTATGGGAGTATCTTTTTTATTATTATTATTTTTTTATTTCTCCTTTAACGATGTCTAGGCGGGTGCTAAAGGGCCATTGTATGGTTAAATAATGTTCGCTTCCTTTTAGTATATGTCTGTCTGATCGTGACAACATCCCTTTAATATCTGCGTTTGTTCAATGATTTGGTTAGTAAAAGGTTATTTATAGCTTCAAAAGATGAAGCATTTTCTGGTGGTATCCTTTGTATTAAGCTAAGAGCGATGGTTTAGTACTTGAATACAGATGCTCCCCAGGGTTTGCCTATTCATCATCTTAGAAGTGTTTGCTTTACACGTGAAAGATTCCTTTGAGGAAGCACAAACCCATTGTTGATGTTAGTAGTTATTTATTTTATTGTTAATTTCTCTTTTTTTTTCATTCCGATACTTTCCTCCACACAAAGGGCCTGATAAAGAGAGAATCTATAGCATCTGACGATTACTTGACGTAAAAAAGAATGTTGCATCAAATAAAAATCAATTTATCTTTATCCACAAAGCATTTAAAAAAGCATTTACTTAATAGCAAAAGAATAACGATAAGGCCATACAATGAGAAATAATTTTTGGTATGATTGCATTCTTAACAATCATTCGATTTATTGTGAAATAATTTCCTTACAAAAAGGAAATGAAAAGAAAACTTCAGCGAGAAACGAACTGTGAACCGGAGCAACGTATATAAGTGTAGGTGTCGTTTGCAAAAAAAAAAAGTTAGTAATGATGTCATGCCATATATGCTGCCATATACGAAATACGAAAACCGTAACATAGTAATTTTTTTACAGTTCCCATTATTATTTTCCATATTAGTTACATGGATTCCAAAAATAAATAATTCATAATGCAGAAAACCAATATTGGGTAATTAAACGTTAAGAAGCTTTTGTTTACTAGCCGAGAAAGTATATGTTTATTAAAAGTTCAATAAAATATATCTTAACTTTCCAAAGTCTTAATATTTTACTTCGAAGCGAAGTAATTAAAGTATTAAATAACGAAAATATGGTATATATGGGAAGGTTACTAGGCTGAGAATTTTAATAATAAAATGTATGATTATTATTGCATTTAATTTTTGAAGATGTTAAATAATATGTTAAATAATATGCACTGAAAGTTCCAACACTATTAGATAATTCGATTTCCATCCTTCCAATAATATATAAAGTTCCAACATATTGAAACATTCCATCGCAAACGACGATCTACAGACTTTTTCGTGGTTGTGTTCGAATCCATCCAAATATTTTGCAACTGGCAAACAATATACATTTATCAATAGAACTTCAGTTTGCAGGATGATTTACATCATCTCCGATCTTACCAATAATGTCGCAAATTCCAGATGATAAAGTAAGGAACTTTTATTGAACATTTCACGTATTATTAACAAAAGGGAAGGCACATCATGACTTTTTGGAAGGATTTAAATGATTTTTCCTTTGTGTTTGAAAACCTAGTGCTCTTGAGGACTTAGTACGACAGTTTATCAAGTATTATATAATTCTGCTGACTTGGAGTTTCCATAAAAAGTTGATCAATAATATCGAGGAATTGCTTAAATTATTCAAAGAAAAAAATGGTCGGTTGTAATTGTCGTCATTTTTATTTTGTATAATTATTTATTGCTATTTTGACATAAAAAGCAGAAAGGATTAAAATATATTATAGAATTATATATAGGATAAAAGATTGCTTGACATTTGGGTTGTGATCTAAGAAAATCAAATTTTTTGACTAAAATCTCAATTTTGATAAGAATTTGATTTTCTTAGAACACAACCCGATTTAGCACGTGACCTGTTACGGACTCATCCCACATAGCAACCTCCCCAATTGTGTCCCGTTTCAACTTGTCATACTTGGGGCTCTAAATCAAAAAAAACTTTTGTTATAAATTATATATCAAGAGATACGTAATGTAACATGCAAAATTGCTGCACGAAATTGTAAAAATTATATACTATCAATTAAATGAGACATAATTTATTTGCATTCTCTATAGTCAAAATTATTTAATTTATCGGCGAATTTTCGGATCGTTGCGCAATCCGGATCATATGATTTTACTAGTCCCGTTTGAAAAAATCTTCGGCACGTGACAGAATATTTGGTGAAGATCATTTTACTTCGAGGTAACAAAAAATCGTGTGTCCTGCAACCCCGCAACTTATGAAGAGTTTTAACCTTTCGGGTTTGCGGTTCATCGGATACATAAAAAAAGGGTGTATAGCAATCACGTATGGGATGGTTTTCTATGTATAGAACGTATGGTTTTTACTTTATAATTATTTCCATACATGTATGGAAAAGCATACATGTAGTATTTTATAAGTTGACTAACTTTACAAATAATTAATTTCGTCAAGACTTAAAAAATATTAAAATTAGCTAACTTATAAATTAGATTTGATTTTACTTTTTTTTAGTTAACGAAATTTTATTTATATAAATATGTCAAAGTTGATTACTATATAAAATTCTATTATAAACGAAATATTAATAAAATGTTAATATTTTGTAATAGGTGCTAAAATATAAAAATTCTATTTTATAATTATAATATACATTTTAACGAGTAGAATATGCTACGTAATGGTCATGTGATTTACTATGTTCGTAAGACAAATACAGTGAGTTGTTAATAGGATGGTGTGGTCCGAAAAATTCATACCTGTAAGGTTTATTCATGTAGGGTTTTTCCATGTATGATTTTAGAAAAACCATACGTTCCATACATAGCAAACCATCCCATACAGATTTCTGTAACACCAAAAAAAATACCAATTCATTATTATACCTTGAATATTATTAAAACTACATACCATGCCATGCAAATTAATGTCTGTGCGAACGGGAGCATTCGCTAGGAATACATTTAAGCAAATCGGCAAAAAAAATTAAATCCGATCGCTGATTAAAATTTAAAACTTACAGTTTAATAATTTTAGGCTTATATATTAAATAATTTTAGTAAAAAAATCAATCAATATATATTAGTTTAGAAAATTTGAATTAATAAAAAAAAATATTTTTAAAAATATTATTTTTTGTGAATATAACCGAAAATATTGGGCAGAACTTTATTCTCTTGATTTAATGTCTGTTGTAACTGTTTTACCTTTTGTGAAAAATCATTGCATGTATTAATAAAATTATTCTTACTTTCCGGTCCGATGGATCCAGTTATAATAAATCCGTAGAACCGAAGAAACCGGATATATTGTACCCAAAATGCATTTGGGATATCCCAAATCGAAGATCGTTTCGAACATTCATGATCACTTGGGAAATCCCAAATGCTCACTTCGGATAAATATCCCAAATAACCACTTCGGATAATATCCCAAATGAACATTTCGGATATCCAAAATGACCACCACTTCAATTATCATTTCGGATGCTCAATATGACTATTTTATGCTCCAATAAACCATTTCCAAATGACAAATATAGGGCATCTGAATTAGTAATACAACTTTTGGACATATAATGTTAAATTCCTATGTGTCTGTGGTCATTTAACCCGGTTTGAAGAGGTCATTTGCCGAAATAACAATTCGTGAATGTCATTTGTCATTTGGGATGTCCGAAATGAGCATTTGGGCTCAACCTGTACGTTGTTTTGCTAACAGGGAGTTTAATTACGTTTAAACTATGAAAGAGATATACACGAGTTTAATTAATTAAAGGGTCAGATCGTCTTTATTGATATTATTATTTGAAGATAATTAGTTAGCTCTGTCCTTTATTAAAGTAAAGATGCAAGATATCTTATCTATATAAAATACATCAATAGAAAATAGATATTTAAGTAGATCGCTAGTACAAATTATAATTGGCACAGTAATTTTTATTAAGAGCGCATTTGGTGTCCGAAACGATCTTCGCATCGCATTTAGGATATCCGAAATTCTCATTTCGGACATTAACGCATTTGGCTACAACAAAAATACGGTTGAACGAAGAAACCGAACCGAACATAATAAATCCGGAATAAAATCAGGTAGTCTGAAAATTTTTGCTTCATTCATTTTGAATATGCATGTAAATGATCTCATTGATCTTTATTTACAATTGGTATATAATCTGTGGTAAATTTACATAATAAAAAAAAAAAAAAAAAAAAAAAAATGAAATTTACCTATTTTGAACTTGTCTTTGGATTCTTAATCTTCTTAATTTCATTTATTTTATTGCGTCGTGAGCGACGTATAAAATTGGTAAATCTGAATTAAATGATTATCATGTTTAATGTTTCCCTCGCTGATAATTTTAAATTGTTAAAAAAAAAATTTGACATTTGGATTATTTAGAATGAACCACATCTTGTGTATTATAAATATCCAATTATTGGACATACTATTGATTATCATAAAGAAAGTACGAAATTTATTAAAGAATGCCATGAAAAGTACGGAGAAATCTTTTCATTATATGTTTTTGGTCAAATTATAACTATAGTTGGCGGAGAACTTTCTCCTGAAATCTTCAAAAATCACAAAGAATTTTCTTTCAACGCAGCTATTGATGAGGTATTTATAAACTATAAAGCCTGATTTTCCTAGAAATCATCATCTTAATTTAACTTTATAATAAAAATTACGTGAATTTTTCATGATAAGTTTTTTCCTTTGCATGGCTTTATGGGTCGCCCAAGAGAATTTTTAAGTGGATTAACCACAATAGTTCAAAGAAATTTGTCAGGAGATTTAAAATTCTATACGAATCGTGTTCAAGGACAACTACTTAAATCTATTGACGAAATAATTGGAGACGGTAAAGGTAAGAAATAAAGTAATTATTTTTTCCAAAATCGATTTTTTTTATATTTTAACTCTTATTATAATCCTTTCGTTACCTATTAGTTTTACAACCCCCTTTAAAATCCTTACAACTCCTTGTCGCAAAACCGGTTGCCGCTGCTGTGGCCGAAGAATTTACTGATGATAAAGAATTGATAAATTCATTCGCTTATTCTGTAAATGATATTTCTTCGTTCTTATCATTTCCACCGATTTTACATTTCATTAGTCCTAAATTGCATCAGAAATTTCTGATGTAAGTAAAATATGCATGATCTTTAAATTCTTATCTAGCCATTATTATCTGAATTAATATTGACTTTAATTCGTTTAGAACGTTTTTTCGTATTGCAAATAATCCCTTCGTAGATCATAGAGAAACCATTAAAAGAAAGATTACGCCAGTGGTTAAGAAAAGATTAAGTGAAATGAAGAAACTTGACGGTGCTTATACTCCACCGGTAATTATGTTATATTTTGAAACTGAATTATTTTAGAATATTTCTTGACATTTTTTTTAATTTAGGTTGATATATTACAAAACTTTATTGATATGTTTGGTGATGATATCGATTCTATCACGGATTATATAATTTCATTGATATTTGCAGCTGTACATACAACGTCAACATCCCTTAATAGTATTCTACAAGGTAAATTTTATGATTGTTATTTAAATAATGTATATATCTTATATATATTCTATAAATACTAAAGAAAATTTTTTTTTAAGAATTTGTAAATAACCCGCAGTTTCATGAGGAACTACTAGAAGAACAAAAACAACTGTTTAAAAGTAAAGAAAATGATTATTACACTATTGAACAAATTTCTAAATTGGAAAGGTTAGATAGCATGGTTAGAGAAACATTTAGATTATATGTCGGTGCGAGTGAGTATTTGCATTCCAGATTAAATTACTGACTTTTTTTTATTAAGTCTATAATTATGAATCCTTTTTTATATTTTTTCTTATTTAGGTACATTACCACATAAAGTATTGTCTCCTTATTACACATTTTCAAGCGGACATCAAGTTCCAAAAGGTATGACTTTTTTCATATTCTGCTTTATGTGAAAATCGTTGAACCTAATATTGTTAAATTTTAAATTAGGTCGAAACGTTTATATTCGTGTAAAAGAAATTCATAATGATGATAAAATTCATGGTCAAAATTCGAAAGAATTCAATGCTTTCCGACACTTGGAAAGTAAATCGCCTGCCTCACGTGTTGAAAAGAATTTCTTAACGTTCGGTTTTGGTAAACATGCTTGTCCAGGACGTTTTTTTGCGGTAAACGAAATTAAAATTGCTTTGCATTACTTATTATTGAAATATGATATTAGAAAGGTTGGCGATGAAAAAATTAATCCATTAATGAAAAGGAATCCAACTTTTCCAAGTGTTGAAGGGTTATTATTTGAAAAGAGAAAGTCAATTATTTAAAAATGGTTACAGAAGTGAAGAAGGTTTAACAAAGTAAATTCGGTGACATAAGCACACAAATAATCATTTTTTATTATTTGACGAACATTTCTTCGATTTGTATTTTTTATTTTATATATATATTGCAAATATTTACTACTAGTAAATAAAGTTCTGAAATAAAACGTATCCATTATATTTAATTATACGTTAATGGATTTTACTCACGTGACCAATTTCGTATCTTGAAAAAGTCGTTCGAAGAAAATATGTTGTGGACTTCGGTCTAATAAGTAGTCAGATTAAAATTTTAGCTAGAACTTATGATTAGCGTAGCGGCGTATATTTATTATATATAATGTTTTAATATACTAATATTTTTTATCAGTATTTGTTTATATATTGGAAAACAAAATTATGAATCAATAGAATCAGTAATGAGTTTTTTTATACAAGAATTAATAGATTTACAAACAAATGGTTTATATAACCATATTATATATTGAAATTTTTTTCGGGTGATTGGCTATTATATTAGGTAAAAGTGCAGCCAATTCTAAATATTTTTGTTTATTTTGTGAATGAGATAAAGAACATAGATATAATATGAATCAAACATGGCTTAATGGTGAAAATAAAAAGTTAAAAAAATCTGTCTTTATTATTACTGTTGATTAAAATACAAAATTGGAATCCTGATGAATTACATATTTTATTACGAATCGCGGATGTTCTTTTAGAATGTTTTTTAATGAAATTACTGCTAAAAGAAATTTTCAAAAGAAAGTTAAACAAATTATGAAAGATATATTAAAATACATTTTGAATTTTTTGCACCAAAAACTTTAAATGGAAAGTGGACTTAGAAATCATTAATGGGTCTTAATGGGTCTAGCTAAAAAAAATAATTTTAAAAATATTTCCAGTTGGTGCATTTATTTTAGGAAAAAGAAAATAAAAAGTTGAAGAGTTATAGCATGAATTTAATATTCTAGTTGAAGTAATTCAAAAGTAAACACAGTTTTTATTCACATTCTACTCCTTCAAAATAATATAGATATTTCAGTATAAGGGATTATAATTAAACATTATTTTATTTTTGAATAAACACTAGTTAAATAATAACAAATAGGAGACCAATTGGATTAATTTTGGGTTACAAGATTTGACCTGATTTGTTCACAATATTTTTTTTTTTTAGCTAGGTAATTCCAATTAATGATAAATAATAATGCAAATAGGTAATATTAGAATTCCAATCAAAGTGTTATAAAGTTATAAATAGGATTATTCTTATTGATATAAATTTAGTAATAACAAGCTTTCAATTGTGTTATTCTAAGTCATCAATATGAATATTCTTATTATTACCTATTAAATCAATATAATACAAATATTATATCCTGATTGGTAACATTTATCAAATATATTTACACTAGAAATAATTTTTTTTAATTGTTAACGATGCAGTCTAGCTGCAGTATTTTATTTGTATTGTAAATTGAAGAAAAAAATCTAAAAAAAATACCAAAATACGTAACTTACCTCCTGTGCTTCTATTTCAAACTCGTTTGAGTCGACTGATCACTGCCACCACCCGAAGGGAATGAAAATAAAGTGTCAGAAAGCATCTAATTTCTAAATGTCCTTCAGTTCCTAACTTCTTTCAAAAGAAAATTCTAACACTAAAAATAACACCTGAAGTAGAGAATTAGTACAAATAAAAATTACAAACAACCAAAAATGACTTTATAAATCCTAGTTAAAGTTCAGTCAATTCTAGCTTAAAGCATCTAGCAGAAGAAGGTGCTTTCAAGTAACTAGATCCAAACAAAGGCTCTTCATACTTATAGATTTATAAGTACAGAAAAAATATCACATAGAATCCACTACAAAAAATCTACAAGACATTTACAGGTAATAACATATACCCTTTACCTGATTACCAGGAAGGTATAAATCTAGACGAAGCGAACTTACACTGAGTAAGAATCTTGACAACAAAGGAAAACTGTAGTTCTATTTCAAACTCGTGAAAACTAACAAAAATACCAGATCAAGTGATAGCTATTATCACTTCAAATAGATTATGTCTAGAGATATCAAAGTAGATATGACACTAAATTTGCACGTGATCTTCAATAATAGAGGATCTGCAGAAAGGCAGAGGTCAATCAAAGAGAGTATATTATTTAGAAAGGAAAAGAGGATCATTACGTAAGATTTGTTTATCCAAAGTATGTTTCTCATGATTGTCAGTTGGAATATATACCTTTTGATGCCCACTTTTTAGTAGGTAAAAAGAAAAAGAGAATAATGGAAAAAATTTTTTTAAAAAGAGGTAAAAAAAAAATATTTTAACAAAAAACAACACTATTTAAACTATTTCGAAAATTTTTATGTGAAGAAGGGTATGGAAAACAAAAAGAGAAGTATTTTTGAAAAGAAGAGTTTTGTTTTATTTGTAGGCTAAGCCGCAACTGCTTTTGAACAGACACTTTTTTTAAAGTAAAAATTCTTGAAAAAAATCCAATGAGAAGAAAGAGTTTTTTTTCTCATACTAGTTAAAATAATCAATTTCATCACTTTTTTAATGTACTAAATATTGGCTGAAATATAGTCTAATTTCTGCTAATCTTTACCAAAATAATCAGTATTTTTAATTATAGTTAAAGTTGCTCATTTTCATATTACACAAAAAATCATTTAAAATTAATAATTGGTAGTTATTTAATATATCATTAGGCAAAATAATACAATTTATCACATTTTAAAGAGCTGAAAATTGGCCAAAATATAGTTTAATTCTACTAATCATTGCTAAAAAATCAGCATTTTGAATAAATAGAAAATCAGCTATCAATCAGCATTTATATTAAAAATTGATCAAATTTAGCATATATCAGCTTAAAATTGGTCAACAATCAGCAAAAATCAATTAAACAACTATTTATAAAGTTGAAACAAATAAAACTCATTTTTTGTTTATTTGTGATTTATAATTTTATTTATTATTACATAATAAATTACTCAAAAAAATATATATATTGTATTATATTTTATTTAAAAAAGATATATTTGATTTTTAAAGATAAGAAAAAATAAGGAAAACAGTTAGAAATCCACTAAAATACCACATCTGATTTACTTAATATATTTCTAAAGATAAAGAAAAAACAGTTAAAAACTATTTAAAAGTCACTTCTAATTTGCTTATCTTAATTTAAAATAAGAATTTTCTAAAAAAAAACAAGAAAAAAGAAAGAAAAAAATTAAATTTATGCATAAAAATCATCTCATTAGAAAAAAGAAAAAGAAAAAGGAAAAAAAATTTATTCAGAATATTTCAAAAGTTTATTAGTTTTATATTGTAAACTGAACTAAAATTTTGATTAATTCAAAATTAGATATTATTTTTTACTTATCATAATGCTCTAAATGGATGATTTGCATTATCTGATTGGAATGATATAGAAAACCTTTTGAAAGAAATGATAATTTGATTATTTCTTAAGAACAATATAAAAAATTATTCAAAAGGAACGATAATTGTATTATTCTTTAAGAATGATAACAAAAATCATTCTAAAGAAATAATGAAATATTATTCCAAAAGAATGATAATAAAAATTGTTTTAAAAGAATGATTATATACTATTTCAATAGAATGATAAAAAAAATATTCTTTCAGAATGATAATGAATTGTTCTTTCAGAATGATGATATATCATTTCTTAAAAATAATGAAAAAATCATTCTTTCAGAATGATAATTGAATCATTTCTTTGGGAATGATTTTTATCATCTATTTGTAAACAATAGTTCATTTCTTTAGAAATGATTTCTATTGTCTCTTTAGGAATAATTATTCATTCTTTTAAAAATGATTTTATTGTCTTTTTAAGAATGATTGTTTGTTTCTTTAGGAATGATTTCTATCATCTCTTTGGAATGATTATTTGTTCCTTTAGAAATGATTTTTATCATATTTTTAGGAATAATTATTTGTTTCTTTAAAGATAATTTCTATTCACTCTTTAAAAATAATTGTTTATTTTTTCTGAGATGATTTCTATCATCTCTTTTGAAATGATTATATTGTTTCTTTTGAAATGATTTCTACTGTCGCTTTTAGAACGAATGTATCATTCCTTTAAAAATTATTTTTATCGTCTCTTTAGGGATGAATATATCATTTCTTTTGGGACAATTTCTATCATTTTTTGAGAATGATTATTTGTTTTTTTTTGAGATGATTTACATTACTATTACACGAAAATGACATAGATGACTCAGATGACGAAGATGACGAAGATGACTGCAGTGACTAAAATGTTATATATGACTTCTATGTCATATATCTTATATATTTCTTTTATTTCCTATATTATATATATCTCTTTTATTACTTATATCTTTTATATTTTATATATTTATTATTGTTATTATATCTCCTATATTATTTATATTTTTTATATGTCTTCGAACACTTTATGTATTCATTTTTGTATAAATATACCTTGAGTCATAGAGTAGTTAACAGTAGAGAATTTTGAAGTAAGTCTAGAATAGTCAGAGTACTTTCTTAGATAGTTTGATTTAATATAAAACATTTGCACAGTACAGAGCGCTGACAGAGGTAGTACTCATTTGTTAAGATATATTGAATAAACGATCGACCCTTTTGACTCAATCCATATTGACTTATAAACTTATACCTTGTGCTTACCACACTTTTAACCTTTAAGCGACCCTAAAGAACTGCCTATAATATTACACATAATTTAATATTTTTTCAGCATTAAGTACTTTTGGTTATAATATTTAGAAAATTTTAGTTAAACTCAAGATTTGGCAACAAATCAACTGTATTTCACTGGTCGAAATCTGTTGAACTGATTTTTGCAAAAATTATAAAAATATTTTTCTAAAGAAACAATAGAAATGATAGAAATCATCTCAAAAAAATGATACATTCATTACAAAAGAAACGATAGAACAAATTACTATTAATTATTGTA